GTGCAGCAAGGCCTTCTCTGACCCGGCCGCGTGCAAGGCCCATGAGAAGACGCATAGGTACCGCCCCGGGCCAGCCCCCTCGCCCCTGGCCCTGGCCCCGGCCCCCTGCGCCCTGCGAGCCCTCCTCTCCCTGTCACCCTCTGACCATGCAGCCCACTGAAGCCGTATGGCTGCGAGGAGTGTGGCAAGAGCTACCGGCTCATCAGCCTGCTGAACTTGCACAAGAAGCGGCACTCGGGCGAGGCGCGCTACCGCTGCGAGGACTGTGGCAAGCTCTTCACCACCTCGGGCAACCTCAAGCGCCACCAGCTGGTTCACAGTGGGGAGAAGCCCTACCAGTGCGACTACTGCAGCCGTTCCTTCTCCGACCCCACCTCCAAGATGCGCCACCTGGAGACCCATGACACTGACAAGGAGCACAAGTGCCCACACTGCGACAAGAAGTTCAACCAGGTGTGCGGATGCCTCCTGGAGCCAGCATCCAGGAGCCCCTGCCCCTGGTGGCCATAGCCCTGACACATGCCATGTGGAGTGGGAAGACACAGCTGTCCTCCTGAAGCTCCCTCCTGATGGCACCTAGGGGACACAGCGCTAGTGGGGAGCAGCCACTGTGTCTGTGAAAAGTGACTCTCTCTGGGGTCGGTTCCTAACCACTTGGCAGAGGCAACTGGGAGGGCAGGCTGAGGCAGGCTAGGCTGTGGGTGGTTTTACCTTTGTCTGCTGGGATCTGGAATAGTCCACTGGCCCGAGGAGAGAGGGAGCTATCCAGGGTCCCCGGGAGGCCTGAGTGTTGATCGTTTTCTGGTGGGAGGGCTGGTAAGGGGCCAGGGCTGAGTGAAGGGCCCTGCTGACCCCTGCCTGGGCACAGGTGGGGAACCTGAAGGCCCACCTGAAGATCCACATCGCGGACGGGCCCCTCAAGTGCCGGGAGTGCGGGAAGCAGTTCACCACCTCAGGTAGGGCCAGGGCTGCCCTGGCTGTCCTCAAACCCCTGCTCCTCGGCCACCTGGTGGTGCCCCATGCCAGGCCTGCCCTTGCTCTCACCACAGGGAACCTCAAGCGGCACCTGCGGATCCACAGCGGGGAGAAGCCGTACGTGTGCATCCACTGCCAGCGGCAGTTTGCCGACCCTGGCGCTCTGCAGCGGCACGTCCGCATCCACACTGGTGGGTGTCAGCCTGGCGCTGCCACGGGCTGGGAGGGAGCAGGGTGGAGGGGAGTGGGCGCCAACGCCTTCTCCTGCCCCCTTCCCCAGGCGAGAAGCCGTGCCAGTGCGTGATGTGTGGCAAGGCCTTCACCCAGGCCAGCTCCCTCATCGCCCACGTGCGCCAGCACACCGGGGAGAAGCCCTACGTCTGCGAGCGCTGCGGCAAGAGGTCCTGCCCACCCCCAGGGTGCTGTCGGGTTCCAGGCACTCTGCAGTGAGGGGGTCAGAAAACAAATTGGGGGCTCGGTTGGGACCTTGGCAGACTGCTGCCCAAGCCCATGCTCTGGCCAGGGTCTGGTTCAGTGTAGATGAGGCAGGAGGCCCAGGCCTGGGCAGTTCCATGCGAGCCCCTCTCTTGCCGCCCCACAGATTTGTCCAGTCCAGCCAGCTGGCAAATCACATTCGCCACCATGACAACATCCGCCCACACAAGTGCAGCGTGTGCAGCAAGGCCTT